CATGAACAGAAATATATATATATATATATACACACTTACTCAGGCCCTAGTCACTGAGACTCTCTGTGCTGGAAAATTGGGTTGGTTAGGACTCTGAGTTGCCCTTCCTATTCTCCTTCCTTTGGGCAAAGTGTCAATTGCTCTTACTAGTCCTGGCAGAGGCAGGACTAACGGGAAAGGACTTTGTTTCAGCCCAGGATCTTTGCTGACTCTGGTGTCCTCCTGGGAATGGAAAGAACTTCTCACTACAGAGTTGACAGGGATGCTCCAAGATGGCAACACCTGCATACCCCTGCAGGCATGCACATGCGCAGGTGCACACACACACACACACACACACATACACACACCTGCAGACCTGTGGGGCGGGTGGTCTGCAGTGACACTGTCTAGCAGCACTTATTTGACATTTTATCTTTCCTGAACGACAGATTGTAAAACCAGACAGATCTGTCTCTGTCCTTGTTAGCTTGAGAGCCTGGTCGAGTTAACTAAACTTTCCGAGCCTTGATTTGCTTTTTTATGAAATGAGAAAAATGAAAGGACCCAATCATTGTGTTGTTGAGGAATTAAGGGAAATGTAATAAGCATAATAAAGCACTCAGCACACTTCCTGGAATATCCTAAGTGACCCAAAAATGATCCATAGTCATAATAATGGCAGTAATAAAATTCTCCTTTTTCCTGACAAAGAGCCTTCAGCCCCTCAGCACTCTGCAGGAGCCACTGATTCCATCTGGGGGTTTCCATAGGGTTCACTATGAGGCAGAAGAAAAATGCAAGTTACATGCTATTGATATCTATTGTTACCAAGAACTCCTAAAAAAGATCATCTGCAATGATCTGAATTTGAGGGGACCTAAGAGATGAACTTCTGGTTTTAAAAACAAGGATATAGAGGCTCAGAGACTCTGATCCCCTGATGGAGAGTCCAGCTATTTATTTTTAGAGTCAAGATCAGAAACTCATTATTGTGAGTCTTGGTCTTGAGATCTTTTCCCTTATCCACTCAACATTTGGCAAGCATGTAAATGAGCCAGTCTTTGAAAAGGTGAGAATGAAGAAAGAAGCTGTGCAGAGTCTTTGTTGCTATGATTTCAAGAAGTGCTGGAGCTAACATCAAAGGGAGAGAGGTCTTTGGGTGCC